CGATACACACCGGCGGGGTAGTGGAAGTTCCCTACTGACAGCCAACGGATTCTTGGGCCAATCGGCGCTGGACGACCAAAGCTCGGCGTGCAGAGTTAAACACAGACATGCTACACCCTCTTGCTCTGCTTTGTGGCAGAATTCGAAATGGCGTGAGACTGCTCGGGGCTCACGCCATTTTTTTTATCCAACCGGTAGTATCACGTGGTCACAGCGCCTGGCCTACCACCGCCTATCCACAACCTTCCCCATAAGTTCGCGTATCAGTACTTCAGTTCAAATTTACTAATACGTTGTTCACGTTTAAGGTTTTCTCTTCACAGGAATTGACCCTCCGTTAATCTGAGGTTGATGGTGGCTAAACCATTGAAGATGTGTTTTGCAAATCTCGTAGGTACTCTCATCGGACTTCTGGCTGGAGCCCTACGCAAGGGAAAATGTCCGTTTAGTAGCCCATGATCTGCGACAAAGCTCTCCCTCGATAACGCCATTTCTCGTGCACCAAACCATACTTTAATCAAGCCAAGGGAGAACAAAACTGGCAAGAGCATCAATTCGAGGAATTACAATAAAAGCACCTTTAAAACGCTTTCAGCTGCAACAATTATTGTAAGAACCGGCTGCGTTGCCTATATCATCTCTAAATCGACCGTTTGAACATCAATTTAGGAACCTGAAATATTCGATTTTGGTCATCACAATCAAAATAACTTCTGTATATGCCGATTTATGCTATTTTTTACCAGACGTATTTATAGTAGCAGCAATAATTAGCAACCATTGGGGGGAGAATGCCCACTTTGCAACCGGCATTCGTCCAGATACAGCATACAAGCACCTGATTCCGACCCCAGTTCGTCTACGGGTCAAGATTGGAACACGAAGACAAGCAGGATAGACGTTCCGTTGAGGGAGCCTTTATTCTCGTTAGATAGCGAAAAAGATAACTATGAAGTGTTTGTAGCAGAATTGAAGAGAAGGTCGTCGAAAGCTTGCTCAGCTACCTTAAAAGAACTATTAGACCAAGCATCTTCATCAAGCCAAGCCAGACAAAACGGCAGCGAGATTGGGTTGCACTGTCAGCAGACAACTTTGCCCGTCTTATAGCATGAGCTTATACCAATTAGCAGAAGAGAACGAAGGACTCAGGCCCTTTCGAGATAGAAGTATTCGTGTTAGCAGCGAAGAAAGAGCGGCGTATCCTACCCGGATGTGGAGTATTATATCCAGACGACAGCGACGACAGCGCCGCCGTCGAGCACCGATGACGCAACAGCGACCGACATCAGCAGCCGACGACCACGTCAACATCTCAACTGCATAATCAACAACGTGTGCGCCGCATCAACTGCAGCACATCATAAACAAGAACCAACGGTTGGTTCTGCGAAGGTAGCTGATCCAGCTGCACGGCATGAAGATCAGCTAATCTGATCTTCCAGATGTATTTAAAATCCTCACATCTATTTTAGACTCCAATATCATGCGGTGATTAACCCTTCCGTGGTCAATGGGGGCATTTTGCCCCCTTTGGGGGGCATGTCCTTGAGTACCACTCGTGTCACCCACGAATGGGGGCAAAATGCCCCCTGTCATTATTTTTGAGGCGGATTCGCCCTTTCTACTTGAACTATAAGGATTTGAAGAAGATTTGCTGTAGTACCGTAGTTTACGAAAGGGGGCAAAATGCCCCCTTTGATGGCCTAATGACTTGGCCTTCTGTAGTATAATATAGCCAGGTCAAAAGAGTTAAGAGCGATGTCCAAATAATAATAAAAAAACTTGTTTGCTGTCAACCCCAATATATTTCCGTGCTTAGCATGCTGAACCATATGGTAAATAAATTATGTTGAAGTAATAATAATAATAATAATAAATAATTAACTCGAACCGTACAGTAAAAGCTGGACTGTCACGTTAAAAAAACAAATTTTACGGTCTTATTTGAAAAACAAACAAACAAACAAACAAACAAACAAACAAACAAACAAACAAACAAACAAACACACACACACACACACACACAGCAAGCTAGCCGTGTATCTATGCTTCCAGTAAGGTATGTGAATCATCGCAGCCATGCAAACCTTCGACGAAGAGGATAATGTAGTGATTGCAAAGGATTATGGGACACCTGGTAGTAACAAGAAGGTATGTAAAAAGGTTTATCTGGCGGGCAAGTCCGCAAATAATAGTTATTTTGCTCAAAAGACGCACCAGGCAGCTTTAGCCTCTGCATTTAATTTAGGCGAAGTGGTTTATTTTAACTGGATTCATCACTCATGAACAGAAATCGCATTATAAACTGTTCTAGACCCTGCTTTGCAGTTTACAAACGCGAATAAGATAGTATGATAACCTAATAAGGTGAGGGCATTCTAGTGGCGTTTGGAATATCCTCATTTTTTTATATCTTGTGGTAAGCAAAGTGATATAATACCGTAGATAAAAAGCACTCACGGTGTGCCTACAACCGCTAGCATTGAAGCCAGGATTGATAAAAACCCAAGATTTCAATGTAAAAGAAAAAGTAGGCGGGTAACGCGAAGAGAGTGTGGGCGGGTTGAAAAGTTGGGTATTTAAAGACAAGTGATGTCACGTAATGAACGAGATATGCGTACATTCAAGGATACTCCAACCACACTAATGTTACCTAACCATCTGATGCGCATCGGTCAAATGAACCGCAGTTCTCATATCACTGTGAGCCCCTAGACCGTTCGTTTGATCTTTCAGAAAACCTATACCGTCATGTTCATTTTCACATTTACACCTCATCGAGCAGAAAACTTCAGCAACGCAGACTCTTGTCTTCAGTCCATTGAACTTCACTTGGTGTATCCTCAAGAACTTATACCTACTCGCTTCCACTTGGCGACATCTCTCCTCAGTGCCTGCCATTGTGACTAAGTTGAAGATGACTCATGCACTAAGTGGCAAAGCATGCACACTAACCACGGATGCTTGGACTGAGCGAGTGGGCATGATTTAGTAGCACGGAGACGAAGGAGCAAAAGGGTAAACTTCGGATGGTGCACAATGTTGCCAATGCGAGAGAATTTGTGCAGCAGCTGGAAAAATCGATTCATATGCTATGTATCTTGTCTAAGTATCAGAAGGTTTTTGAGCGCAACGAAACCTTGATTTCAGCCGTCCACAAATTGCCCCCTGGACCTTCTAAAAGTTTACAAGGACCGAGATATTCTGATTTCAAAGCTAGGTGCCAACTCGGAGTGGTAACAGGCTGTTTGATTTCGTGCATGGAGATGCTCATGGTGCGGGCTATCTACTTGATTCAAGGTACGACGATGAGGGGCATGGACAACGGTACCCAGGAAAATGTGCTCGATTTTATGTCCAGATGGCACGGCGTTGCCCACGTGGACGCAGTGAAGATCGAGCTGATGCAGTATCTTGCCATGATGGTCCAGAAGCTGCCGCGTGAAGTCACGTTGGCAATGCAGAAGCGGATTGGTTGGTACGAGTTCTGGTGCGACGTTTGTTCCTCTGTTGTTATTGTATTTATTCCGATTTACTAATATTATCAATATTTGTAATAATAATGTTTTTGGTAATGAAAGGGAGGGGACGAAGCAGGTGCACCTACTTTCTTGAAACCCTGGCACCAAGAGGTTACTTGCCAATTAGGCAGAGCGACTTAACTTTCCGAGTAGCCACGAAAGAATTTGAACATTTAGTCTATCGTGTGTCAACGAACGACAGCTGCTTTCATCAACTGAATCAGCAGTGTGGCCGAATAATTTAATATACAACGAAATTTAATAAAACACGAATCTCGGGTTGGTAATTTATTGTAGTTTGCTTTTCACACGCAACAGTCGCCCCGGTGCTACAACGGATGCCTTTTGATAATACTTTGGCGGTACCGTATTAAAATATTTGCCTTTCAAACTTAAATTTTACATCTCTGAAAACAAACAATAATGGCGATTACAGCTAAGAAAATCGATGTCAATAGAGGCTAAACATAAAATTAATTTATGAAGACATGTAGACCTGAAGCTCAACGAGCATTCCGTGCTTGCTTGTGCTTTGGTTTCTGTCCAGGATTTATACCACGCTTGCCTAAACGCTCAGTATCGGCGTGGAATGCGGTAACAATAACGAAGTATCCGATCGTAGCGCTACCGCTGTAAGCCAAGACACGAAGCTCAAAGTGTAATTATCTCGGAAGTGTCGAATAGACATTCTTGCCGCGTTGTATAAAATGCTTAACCGAATACGCGCCGTCCATCAGAGGTTTAATGGCGCACTTTGCAGCAGCTATGAAGCAATTCTTTAGCTGTTATTTTTTGCAGCGCTGGAACTAAACTTGACTCGCCACGACCACCGCACCAACGAGCAGCCATTTGATGCTCTCAGAAACGAGCTCGCTAAGTCATTTAAAGTAATGGTGGAAGTCGTCTAGAGGCTTCGCACTACGTAGTTTAGTTTCTATTCCGTTCATAACTTGCTCTGACAAATTTGACGATATTATATTGTATGTCGGCCGCTTGAGCCCTCTTAACCCTTTCGTGAACGGGCAGTTTTGACTTGGCTATACTATAGTATTGAAAGTCAAGTCATTAGACCGTCAAAGGGGGCATTTTGCACCTATCGTAAACCACGGTACTACAGCAAATCTTCTGTAAATCCTTGCTGTTCAAGTAGAAAGAGCGATTCCGTCTCGTCCACACATAAAATATAATGAAAGAGGGCTTAATGTCCCCCTTTCATGGGTGACACGAGTGGTGCTCGAGGATACACCCTCCTAACGGGGCAAAAGGACCCCATCGATCACAAAGGGTTAAAACGGACATTTCACCCAGTGTTTCTTGTCTAGCGTCAAGGTATTCATCTGATGGTTGCTTCAAGGAGGCAAACTCACCGCGAAACAACTTAAAGTCGTTATTAAATTGCTACGAGCGAACTTGCATATCATATCCCGCTCCTCAATAGATAGCATTGCCCCTGCGCGGTTAATATTGTCCATAATATTGGTGAAGACAGAAACGATGCCCTGCCAAATGGAAAAAGTGCGGAAGCAGCCGCTAGAAGGTCATTTTGGCGATCCGACACAGCCGTAAATTTCTCGAAACCAGTCGGCAACTTAACAACATTCGTGGACCAGCTCCAGTTTTCGTAATATTCCGTGGCAACTAACCCCAAAGCGAATAGAATAGCATGGCTGTTGTAGTCTTTTGCTGTGGCGACTAGAAAGACGCCTCTCTTGTTCATTTCACATTTGTGATGCGCGCTGCGAATCCTATAAGCCCTTAACCCATGTGCGCCAAAGTTCGTAACGAAGCAGGCAGGCTTGAGCCCGAAGCCATTATCTTCCTTATTAGATCTCCGGATGAATCCGGGGATTTTTGAAGCCACGAGTTCGAAACAGGATTCGAGTTTCTGATAGCTGTCAATGATGTCACCTCAAAGTCGATCATCAAAATTAGTGTCATTCGAGAGATAGCACTTCGGTCAAGATTGTAGTTTTTCCAAGCAGGAATTTGTGAAATAAGGCTCCGGCCAGCGTGGACGTCGTCCCGTTATGCATTATAAGCATTTCGACCATAACTAGTATTGTCATGCGCTGTAGTACATGAGTCGCTGGTCTGGTAACCGTGTCGTCGACAAGCGGTGCACGGGTGAAGCCAACAAACTTTGCTTGGCTGTTGCTGAATTCACCTTAATTATCCTTCATTTGCCATTTAGCCCGTACACGTTGACGAGAAAGGGGCTCTGTATCTTCTCAAATGGTGTATCTTGATCGAAGAATTGGCACCCGTTGAGGTTTTTACACTGATATATAGAGTTTTCAGAATAATTCCGTTTGACACTTGCCGGCTACACAAAACTGTGAAACCCACAAGAAACGGAAAAGCCCTTCATATTAGCGCGTACGGACTGTCAGCTTGAGAATTCGTGATCTGCGAGGTTAGCTTGCTGGGCATATGTGAGGCCGTATTTAGGGCACGATGAATCTTCACCCTGAACAACGATGTTGTCTCGAAGCAGCCCTAATTCTCCTGCAGACTGAAGATTGGCTGCGTTAACGACGAAGCGCGCTTGGTCATACTTTATCGCAGACTCTTCGATTTTGAAAAAAAATCCAAAAAATGCAGGAATAACAGATAGGTTCGGTGCTATTCCTTGAACAAAGTTTGAAGTAGAGTTTAGCTGATCACAAATAATTAAATGTGAGTGTCCGATCTGCTATTAACCCCATTCTTTTGTTCTCCACATGATTGGCCGTAGGGCTCTGGAAATAGTATCCTAGACAGTATGGCATCCGCTTTAGGTTTCAAGCTTACAGGCATCTGTTTTCGGCCCAGATAAATGTTTGATATGTTCCCGAAAGTTGAGGGCAAAGGCTTTATTAATATCAGACAAAACTACTTCGACTTCAGTTAAAATGCCAGTTCTTTTGGTATCAATTCCTTGCGAAAATGGCGTTCAATGTCATGCCTACCACCTAAAACGCTTTTCATACGTCATTTCCCAAGATATTTAACGAAAGTACAGACTTTTCAAGACTTCTTTTTTGTCATCATGGTGCAGGTTTCCCTTAGATTGACACTGATATCATACGTGAATATGTGTCCTCGTAGCTTCCGCTTTGAGACGACCACTGAGGATTTTACGGACCACGCATATAACTGAATATTTAAATTTGTTGGAATAGAGTATCGCTATTTTCGATGTTACCGACCACTAATTTCGGTTTCGTGCACGGTTGCCCCTTGCCCAGTGATGAAATCATGACAATCGACTCTGTGGAGCTGTTTGCGCGGCTTTCGGAATACGTCGAAACACCGTAAAATAATCTGTAAGGTGCATGATCTAGTAGAGGATATTGGCTCCCCAGCACGGGTGCAGCTGAAAGACTAAGTTCTCCGCAGCATATTTTCTGATAATTGAAGCCCCCCCCC